ATCTTGTATTTATATGGATTACGGCTACCAATATTTATTGCATTGGACATTATAACCGAAAACCTTTTTAAAATATTAATTTAAATAACAATCCCCCATAATATGCTGAAATGAAATAAAAAAAAAATAAAATAAATAAATAAATAACAAGAAACCCATTACATGTTAACATAAATAACTTAAAAAAAAAAAAAAAACTGGCCGGGCGCAGTGGCTCACACCTGTAATCCTAGCTCTCTGGGAGGCCGAGGCGGGTGGATTGTTTGAGCTCAGGAGTTCGAAACCAGCCTGAGCAAGAGTGAGACCCTGTTTCTACTAAAATTAGAAAGAAATTAATTGGACAACTAAAAATATATAGAAAAAATTAGCCGGGCATGGTGGCGCATGCCTGTAGTCCCAGCTACTCGGGAGGCTGAGGCAGGAGGATCGCTTGAGCCCAGGAGTTTGAGGTTGCTGTGAGCTAGGCTGACGCCACGGCACTCTAGTCCAGACAACACAGTGAGATTCTGTCTTAACAAAAAAAAAAACAAAACTGTTTTCCAAAACAAAAAATTTAGTGAGAATAGCATTCTCCATTTCTGCACATCTCTTTAATTCTCACTAAATCAAAGATGGCTGAATTCTCATATCTGCTTCTGCATTCAATCTGTTTTGATAAATCATCTCGGTTGAAACATATGAAGAAAACTTGGCATCAAACTGACATTATAACTGGAAAAGAGTATTTTAACAGCTTTTTCAAATAACTGTGGACAGTCTTCTCTGATATTACACCAGAACACCACAAGTGGTAGTTTCTTAAATATCAGTCACAATATGAAAGCTAAAACCTTGTCAATAAACCCTTCGTACTGTTGCATTAAAATCTGGTTTACCTTGCACTTTGAATGTGCCTTTTACCCACATGTTTTCTTACATCATGATTCATTTGGGAAATAAGGGTTCACTGAGTTACATATCTTCCAAATATTAGCACACATCATACAGTATCAACAACTATATTCATTAATATCAGAAATATCTTTAAGTATTAGGAAGTTGTCAAGCTTAAAATGAAGAAACAAACTTTCCAAAATCCTAATTTCTGCTTCAAAGCTGAAATTTTTCACTGGCCACAAATACAGTCAGTTGTTTTCCTTGAAGTGACAGGCTCACTTTATTCTCAAGTAAATGTCCACTAAATACTCATGTATGAATATCCACAATTCATCGCTTGCTCTTTCAGATAAAATTGGAGCTGCGTGAAAAAAAACACTAGTTTAGCTCACAAATCAAATCATACAAGTCATCTTCCTCAAAACTTCGGTTCTACTTTCCAGTATGCGGCTTTACATGTACTTTCCATATTACATATACTTTCCACAGCATATTAAAATGACAAACTCAAGGGTCAAGACTTAATAAAATTAACAACCTCTTACTGCTTCATCAAGGATCCTTTTTTAACTGTGGGTAGTAGTGAAGAAACACAATGACGACCTACAATATGGGTCCTCTGCCTTGACTGTTCCTAAAGCACAAGCACATTACCCACCATTGCTTTTGCATCATTAGTGTAAAAGTCAACAGAACAAGACAGACAAAACATCTCAGGTATTATGAAAATAGTCTGAATCCTTACATACCCCCTCTGAAAGGATCTCAGCGGTCCCCTCCCCAAGCATCCACAGATTGCACTAAGAGAAGCAGGGCTGCATGGTATAACACCCATCAGCAGGCCCCAGTTCTACCAGTTGTGAGAACAAGAAACTACTCTAAATCCCTTTCTTGTGACAACCCCCAGAAACATTTGGGAGGAAAGCTACTGTCTCCCCTAAGTCTTGCTAAACGTCTCTTTCAGTACTTGAACGACGTTCTATGAATGTGGCATAAATGCTAGATCACTGACTGATACTGGTTACTCTCATGTTTTTTTTTTTTTAATTACAAGTGTGATACCCAGAACTGAGCTGATGCAAATAATGATCTCACCAACGGAGTAGAGCAGAAATACAAATACAGTTTCCATAAGGGCATGACACTTTGTATTAATGCAATGGTTCTCAACCAGAATACAACTGGCAGTATCTGGAACCATTTTTAGTTGTCACTACTGGGGAGATGGAGGGTAGGACTCTTGGATCTAGCATAGTATAGTTAGTAGGTAGAGGCCCAGGAGGCTGTTAAACATCCTACAATACAAAGGACAACCCCCTCCAAGGCATTTTCTGGCCTGTCAACGGTACCTAGGTGAGAAACTGTGTATTAACAGATCCTAAGACAATCAAAATCTTTGGAAGCTTCACCACCACGACTCTTAAATCATACCAGCCTTTTCAAAATTATATATGTAGTTACATATTAACATACAGACAAAATATGAATATTTGATCAAAATGTTTTGTTATATCCTAAACTTCGATTTTTATTTAATTGATCCTGACAACTCACCTATGGTCCATGCCCCAACCTCACTCATGCAAATTTAACAGGACAGGCATACTAAAAATGAAAGTCAAACACAATATAACTAGGAAATCATAATTCAGCACATGAAAGAAACAAAATCAATGACTGTGGCACCAGAACACAATAGTAAATTAATGAGGAAGTAGGTCTATTTTTCTTTAGGCAGGATTTTGTCTATTGTTTACTTTAAAAGAATTATAGTATATTTAGTGTTAAAAGTGAGGGCTATCTCAAAATCTCAGTGAAAAAAAAAAGAAAGGGATAGCTAATGAAAAACTGGCAATATGGTTCCAATTTCAAAAAAAAAAAAAAGGAAAGCAGATATCTGGGTGTAAATCTGCTGTTCTGACTGTGTCTTCCATTCTATACATCTGAGCTAACTTACAAAGAATTTGAAGTACTTTGAGTGTTTAATGGAAATTTATACCTTCCCTCCGCAAAGAATGTTGGGGAAAACTATGTACAAAAGTACTTTTAATTCTTAGAAATAAGACACATTACTTCTGTTATTTCCACTGAAGCCTTTTTTTTTTTTTGGGACAAAGAGTCTTGCTCTGTTGCCTGGGCTAAGAGTGCTGTGGCATCAGCCTAGCTCACAGCAACCTCAAACTCCTGGGCTAAAGTGATCCTTCGGCCTCAGCCTCCTGAGTAGCTGGGACTACAGGCACTTGCCACCAGGCCCGGCTAATTTTATCTATTTTTAGTAGAGATGGGTCTTGCTCTTACTCAGGCTGGTCTTGAACTCCTGAGCTCAAGCGATCCTCCCCCCTCGGCCTCCCTAAGTGCTAGGATTGCAGGCGTGAGCCACCTTGCCCAGCCTGTAGCCTTTTCTTTAAAGTGTACATTTCCTATCATTTTTAATACCGACATGATTATCACAAAGACAAGTCCCTTTTCAAAAACTGCAACAAAATGTGAGCTAACAAGGTCACTACATGGCATTACTGCAAACATTTAAGTTTATTTTAAATCCTGAGATATGCCACTAAAATCTTTAGATTCAATTCTCCTTGTGCATCTTCTTACCATTTCATGAAAGGATGACTCAATTAACAGGGACCTTGTAGATTCTAAGATTGTAGATCTGTATATTTAATTAAGCCTAACAAATGTTCTCATCACAGAAAGAATAATTTAATAGGCCTCTTAACAAAATGACAGGGGTCGGTGAATGGGGCTGAGGCATAAGAAGGCGCCATGAAAACCCTTTTTAAAATATGTAACATTTGAAAGATGTCATTATGGCCTGTCTCAAAGTTAGAGTCTCACCAATGAAGACACACATCCACACACACATACACACAATAACATACATGTTATTGTAAAACTAATCCAGGATATTTGCAAAAAAGAAATTGTCTTTCCTTAAAAAATAAAATAATAATCTTGAGGTACTACATAAAGTGTCTGGAAGGCATAAAGACTTTTATTTTGGATTTAATTGAAGCAAAACTTTGAGTGTCAATTACATGCTTCATTTAGGGACTACTAAATGAAGAAAACTTGGTCCCTCCTCTCAACGGGGCACTCTTACACTTTAATCTTTAAAAACGGAAGAAAGGCAGTCTCACTATTTAGGCCTCAACACTGCTGTAGTATACACAGAAAAAAATATGTAATCTACTTTTTGATCCCAACAATGAGCTGTCAAATTACATCTCTTTCTCAGAAAGAAGAGAGAAAAGAAAAAGAGAAAACTTTTAAGAAACCCTCTAAGGAAAAAAAAAAAGTAAAACTATAATGAAAATTTTATAGTGGGATTAGAAGGCATAAATGTAGCTTTAAACTACAGAAAAACAAAAAAACTATCACTACAGATGAAGGAAAAAAAGAAACAAAGTGAAACCCGGATACCTCATCAAAACAAAACGGGGAGCGCAATACATACAATACATTTCGGAGGAGGGGACCCCGGGAAGTGCCTTCTCCCCAGACGGTGAGAGGGCTGGGGAGGACTGGGGCGGGCGTGGATATAAAGAGCTCAAATTGTGGGGCTCGACGCTCCAAACTGGGCTTTTAACTCGTGCTTACGCACATTCGGACAAGGAAAATAGGAAGTAGGCACACAATACGGGCATCCTGGAAACGAGACGAAGAGAGGGACCAAGCGGAGGCGGACCAATAACAGAAGCATCGAAATGGGCCCGAAAGGCGCCAAGGGCGAGACCGAACCCTGAGTGCAGATCCCGCGTGGAGGCCAAGCCTTCTTTCCCTACTGCCCTGCGGTGTTTTGCTTTTTGTTGTCTTTTTTTTTTTTTAACGGGGCGGAGAAGCTGTAAAATTAAGTAGGGTTAGGGGTTCCTCCGGCTGTTCCGGAAGGGGAAGGCCCCGGGCCCGACGGCAGCTGAACCAGCCAGGAAGGGTGGGGGAACGCGGGAACCGAGCAGACGGGGGAAGTGCGGCGGCGAACGGGTGAGGAAACAGGAAGGGCCCCAGTCCAGCCTGCCTCCCCCACGGGGCAAAGACCCGGCTCACGCGCGCCCCCTCCCCCTTCCCGGACGCCCCTAAGGCCCAGCAGGCGTGCGAGAGAAAACAGAATACAAATCACTTACAACGGCATCGTCTCCTGCGCCGGCACCGCCCAGTCACTTCCCCCCCGCAACCACCGCCGCTGCCGCCCTGGGCATGATCCACTGAGGCGGGAGGGAGGGGGGGGCCTGCCTCAGCCCTGGGTCCAACCCCACTCCCGCACCCGCTCCCGCCGCTTTAAGCGCTTCTCCTCCTTCCCCTTCGTCCTAACATGGCGCCCGAGCGCTACCACAGCAACGTTCTAGAACCGGTGACGCCGCCACGCACGCCATGCGTGCGCCTGCGCACCAGCCACCCGTCGCCGCGAAGCCTCACGGGAAGCGTAGTTCGTGAGGCGGCCAGCGACCGAGCAATTTCCACCCAGACCCTCTCACGCTTTGAGGTGGGTGTTGGATGAAGGGTGGGAGTGGTCAGGGAGGCTCTGGGCGGCGGACTGTCCCTCCGGCGGGGACGCTTTCGTGGGCGACGCAGCCTGGACGGCACGAGGAAGAACGCGGAGAGACCCCAGGCTCACGAGGGGCCACTTCCGGTGCATTGTGAGGTCCCGCCTTTCTGCCACCTGAGGTCGCGGCAGCTGCTTTGCTAGAACCGCGTCTGCGGAGGCGCTTCCGGGGGGGCTGCAGCGCCCACGCGTCCACTGTGGGCCACTCCGGAGCGCGGGGCTTAGAACGGGGTCAAGTGGGAACAAGTTACTCAACCGCTTCATGCTTCGCACTGCAAAGTAGGAGTAATGCCTACTAGGGTTGTGTCTGTTTAATGTGATAATGCAAGACAGGTGTTTAGCACACAGTTTGGTGCAGAAATGTTGTTAGGACTCCGTCTATCCCCACCAGACTGAGTTCCCACGAAAAGGAACTCAGTCTGTTTCGTCCACCAGTGCATTCCTGATGCCTTGTATGTAGGCGCTCAAATATTTGTTGAATGATTACATGTGCAGGATAGGACTGCGATGACAGCGAGTTCTGGAACACGAGCTAATTTTACTTTTTAACAAATGGTGCACTGGAACTTCTTGATAAAGCTGTCCTTCAGTAGAAACATCGATGGCAGTAACCTTTGGGATTTTAGCAAAGGCTGTTTTGGCTATAATTTCCTCAGGGCTGCGTTTCCAGCCCTCATTCTATCTAGGGTGGGACCTGGGAGTCTACCTCCTCTCCTCCGCCCCTCCCCCGACACCCCCCCCCCAGCAAAAGTTTAAGAAAGTGCCTGAGACAGAACCTCTACTCCCATATCCTTCTCTCTTCAAATTAGAACGCATTCTAAGTTTTACAGTGTCACACAGAAGGTTAATGGAGGGGAGAGGGGAGGAAGGAATCATAAATATGGGGAAACAACATTAACCAAAGTTCAAAACTCTTTAAATACATATGTTTTTATAAGGCTGAGTTCTAAGTCAACCTTAAATATATTATTATGAAGTTGTAAAACCTCAGGGAATTTGACAAGGATTTTCCTTTTTTTCACAGAATGTCTGGCAGCACTAGCATTCTAGGACTAATGGCTTAGAACGGGAAAAGTACAGGATCTAAGCCTGTGCTATCCAGCAGTGTGGCCCTTTACCATTTATGGCTATTGAGCACCTGAAATCAGGCTAGTCCGCTTAATATGTGCCGTAAATGCAAAATACACACAGATATTGGAGTTGTTAGCTCAAAGGAATGTGAAACACCTCACTGATGATTTTTTATATTGATTACAAATTAAAATAATATTTTGGATGTATTACATTAAGGAAAATATATTAAAATTAATTTCTCCTGTTTTTTCTAACTTTAATACGTGACTACTAGAAAATCTTCAATTATATACGTGGTCCTCATTTCAGTCAGACAGCACTGATCTGGAGACAGACTTATATTTGATTCTCAATTCTTCCCTTTAGTCCCTTACTCCTTGTCATCAAGGTAGGCTTTTGTTGGGGACCAACTAGCATCCTTGTCCTTAAAAGGTTAAAAATCTAAGATCCACATTTTCCAGAAAAATGACATATTAAGGCTGTGGACTTAAAAGTTTTCATAAAGATAATGCACCAATGAGGTACTTTATGAATGAAAGAGTGGGAACTTTTCCACTCGTACTGTCATCTGCCCGGCATCTCAGAAGGCAGTGAAGAAGAGATAGACATTAAACCTCTGTGTTTTCAGTATAGATTAATAGTTGCATCAAACCATTTTTGTTTCAGCCCTCCATGGAATGAGGCAGCTAGATAGCACAACAGATGGAATATTTAGTGCCTAGAAAGTGCTAGTACCCTGCTACTTGCTGAAGACATTCAAAAGGAACCATACTTGAAGATGGAGTCAAGGTAGACTTCACATAAGCAGTGACTTTAGAAAGGTCCTGATAGAAAAGTAAGGTTTGATAAGTGGACAGGAGGAGGAGAAGGGCATATCAGGTAGAGGGAAAAATTTGAAAAGATAGAAAAGTGCAAGTAATTTAAAGTTTATTTGGAGAGAGGGAGACTTTGACTAAACCACAGGAACATAGTAGGGAGTGGTGGAAATAAAGCTGGAAAGTTAAGTGAGGGGCAGAAGATAAGGGGCCTTCATTCAACAAGTGGTTATGGTGTGCCTGCCGTGCCCATTACTGTGCTAAGCTGGGCAAGTGACTTTCCATTATGAAAAATAAAATCTCTGATCCACATAGATCTTACAAAAGGGAAGATGGGAGGGCAGATAAATCCATAAGCAAATAAACAGACCAAGAGAATAACAGATTTTTGGCTGGGTGCGGTGGCTCACACCTGTAATCCTAGCACCTGTAATCCTACCACTCTGGGAGGGCCAGGGGAGAGGATCCTTGAGCTGGGAATTGAGACCAGCCTGAGCAAAAGACTCTGCCTCTACTAAAAATAGAAAAAATTACCCAGGGCTGACGCCACCGGCACTCTAGCCGTGGTGACAGAAGGAAACTCTTGTCTCAAAAAAAAAAAGAATAACAGATTATGATAAGTGCTGTAAGTAAAATAAACCATGATGGAATTATGGGGGAGGTCAACCTCAGATAGGATAGTCATATCAGCTTCAGATAGACAAGGCTTTTCGGAGGAACTGACCTTTGAACTGAGACCTGAAGCTAATCCTGAGAGATTTTATCTTTTTGTGAATGGGGGAGCCATAGAAAGTTTTAAAACAGGAGTGAAGGTACATATATAGTTTCAGAAAGATTACTCAGAAAATGTAGGGAATGAATTTGAATTACGAGTGGTTTTGAAGCTGGAAGATAGGTGAGGGGGCTCTTGCAGTAGTTAAGATGAGAGATGATGAAGCTTGAAATAAAGAAGTAAAGAAGGAACCAATTTGAGAGAGATTTTAGGAGGCATAGTTAATCCTGGATGTGAGAGGTGATGGAGAGGAAGACGACAAAGATGATTTCAAAGGTCGTGGGAGTGCAGTGGTGACAGTGTATGGAGCTACCAGTAAACGAAATAGGAAGCAGAGGAGGGTAGCTGGGTGAGTGGATGTGATCGGGAGAGTAGTTAGATATGTCTTGATTTCGAAGTGCCTGTGGGACCTTTAGAAAAGTCTATAAGGCAGATGAAAATATGCTTCGGGGGCTAAGGAGAGAAATCTGGACTGGAAATAGAGATTATAAACTCTGAAAGCAGTAATCATAACTTGGAGTCATGTTTGAGCTCTGGAAGGACCTCACATAAACCTAGCAACTATTCCAACTCAAATTTCACAAATGAGCAATGAGTTAGATGTTCACAGATCATGTTTAGGACACAATTAAAGATATAATGGTAGCCAAGGAAAGTGAAGAGTGAGATAAAGACCACTTGCCAGTATATTGGTTAAAACAATCTACTGTTACTCTTGCCTTGCTTGTCCTCAAAGCCCCTGCCCACACCTTCTTCCAGCTGCTGCCTGTCCTTACTGCATTTACACCCAGTGCCTGTTTTGTACCGGTTGCTGAGAAGGGGGAGAATGGGGTTTCTCTGTGTCACCCCCACTAGAGTACGGTGGCACGATCATAGCTTCCTACAACCGCAAACTCCGGGCTTCAAGCATTCCTCCTGCTTCAACCTCTTGAGTAGCTAGGACTACAGGCACGTACCACCACAACTGGATGATGTTTTAATTTTTTAATATTTTGTAGAGATGGGGGTCTCACTATGTTTCCCAGGCTGGTCTTGACTCTGGGCCTCAAGGGATCCTCCTGCCTCAGCCTCCCAAAGTGTTGGGATTATCACCATGCCAGACCTGTACTGGTATCTTTTCTTTTTTTTATATTTGTAAAAAAAAATTTTTTGTAACTAGAGACGGGGTCTCACTGTGCTCGGGCTGGTGTCGAACAAACCCCTGAGCTGCAGCGATCCTCCTGCCTTGGCCTCCCAGAAAGCTAGGATTACAGGCATGAGCTGCCGTGCCTGGCCTGTACTGGTATCTTTTTTTTTTTTTCTTTTTTTCTTTTCTTTTTGTACTGGTATCTTAAGTAGCTTAAGTCCCCCCTTATCTGTGGGGGATATGTTTCAAGACCCCAGTGAATGCCTGAAACCATGGATAGTACCGAACCCTATGTGCACTATGTTTTTTCCTATACATACATACCTTTCATAAAGTTTGATTTATAAATTAGGTGCAGTTAGAGATTGACAACAATAACAATAATAATAAAATAGAACAATTATAACAACATGCCAGCATCACTTTGGGGTTATTATTATTAAGGAAAATAAGGGTGATTTGAACACAAGCACTGTGCTGTGATACGGCAACAGTCAATCTGTTCACCAAGACAGCTACTAAGTGACTAAGGGGTGGGAGTGTAGACTACAGATACACTGGACAAAGGGATGATTCACATCCAGTGGGATGGAGCAGGACAGCAACGCAATTTAAAACTTATGATTTGTTTATTCTGGAATTTTCTGTCTACTATATTTGCACTGAGGTTGACTGCAGGTAACTGAAACCTCGGAAAGCAAAACCCCAGATAAGGGGTAGTACTGTGTCATTCAGATCGCATTTTCCACGGAGCAATGTCATAAATAGTGGGAAGAATCCCCAAAGTGGCTCACAGAGGTCCATACTGCATTCAGACAGACAAAATTCACAAAAATGTTTTTGAGAACAGAACCCCTTCATATATTGAAAACTACCTGGATTGTGTTTTGGTGTCATATAGGAGGTAATAATTGGAGATAACTGTGTGACAAAGTTTTTTATCCCAACAATAACCTATGATGATTCACTAGGTGATATGGTTTGGATGTTTGGCCCCTCCAAATCTTATATTGAAATTTGATCCCCAATGTTAGAGGTGGGGCCCGGAGGGAGGTGTTCAGGTCATAGGGACGGATCCCTCAGGAATGGCATGATGCCCTCTCAGTGATCATGAGTGAATTCTCACTCTATTAGTACTGCTAGGCTGACAGTGGTCACAGGAAGGAGCAGGACAAGTGAGGAGGCTACAGCAGCAATCCAGGTGAGAAATGTTGGCATCTTGGCCCAGGGGGTAGTGTTGGAAGTATGAGAAACAGACAGACTCGGGGTATGTTTTGAAAGTTGAGCCAATGTCATGCACTGGATATGAGATAAGAGAAAACAAAGAGTCAAGGATGACTCCAAGGTTTTGGGCTTGATCAACTGGAAGAATGGAGTTGCCAATAACTGAGATGGGAAAATGTGGGGAGCGGCAGGCAGAGGGGAGGGAGGAGGGTGATTAGGAATTGGAGCTGGCCAGGTTAAAGTTGGATGTGCCTATTAGACATCCAGTGCAGGGAAGAAAGTGTTTCGTGGAGGAAATGATCAAATGTGTCAGATGCTCTGGATGCCCAGTAAGATGAGGCCTGAATTAACAATTGGATTTGGAAACGTGGAGCTCACTAGTAACCTTGCTATAAAGGGAAGCAGAATATTGGGACCTTAGCTGGAGGATTTGGAGGTCTAGGAACGTTTTTCATTTTAATTTGTTTTTGTCTTGTTTTATTTTGAAGTATGGAAGCTAGTACATGATGTGTAAAGCTGAGCTAGGCATAGTGGTACGTGCCTGTAGTCCCAGCAACTTGGTAGACTAAGATGAGAGGATCACTTGAGTCCGGGAGTTCAAGGCCAGCCTAAGCAACATGGAGGGATGTCATCTTTATTTTAAAAAACACGATAAAATAAAGCTAAGGGTGATGATCCAGAAGTGAGAGAAAAATTAAGCTACAAGAGAGAATGGGAAATTACAGGAGCAGAATCTGATTATGCGGGAAGGGGTAGGCTCCAGGGCACAAGTTGGGGGTTGACCTTGGACAGGAGCACAGACAGTTCTCTGCAGCAGAAGGGAAGGCAGAGGTACGTTTCTAGTGGGAGGATGTAGAAGCTGTCTTTTGATTGCTTGGGTTTTTTCAGTCAACTAAGAAGCAACATCATGAAATGAAGGCATGAAAATGTAACTATTATAAAGACTAATGATTTTAAACTGTTGGAAATACATTCTCATTATTTACTTGGAATTTTCAAGTAAAATGTAAGGGTCAAAAACAGTGCAGTGAAACAAAATGAAAAATAAGTAAATTGGACTTCATCAAAATTAAAGGGCACCATCAACAGAATAAGAAGACCCACGGAATGGGAGGAAATATTTGCAAATCATGTATTCGATAAGGGTCTTATATCCAGAATACATAAAGAATTCTTACAATTCAGGAACAAAAAGATAAACAATCCAAATAAAAAATGAGCAAAGGACTTGAATATATAGGCACACCTCATTTTATTGTGCTTCGAAGATAGTGTATTTTTTACAAATTGACAGTTTTTGGCAACCCTGCATCAGGCCAAATTTATCAACACCATTTTTCCAACAGCATGTGCTCACTTAGTGTCTCGGTGTCACACAATACTTAATTGTAATTCTTGTAATATTTCAAACTTTTTCATTATTATTATATCTGTTACAGTGATCAGTGATCTTTGATGTTACTATTGTAATTGTTTTCAGGTGCCACAAACTGAGCCCATAAAAGATGGTGAACTTAATAAATGTTGTGTGTGTTCTAACTGCTCCACCATCTCTCTCCCTCTCCTCAGGCCTCCCTATTCCCTGAGACATGACACTATTGGAATTAGACCAGTTAATAAGCCTAGAATGGCCTGTAAGTGTTCAAGTGAAAGGAAGGGCTACACGTGTCTCACTCAACCTGAAGCTGGAAATGAGTAAGCATATCGAGGAAGACATGTCAAAAGCAAAAATAGGCTGAAGCTGGGTCTCCTGAGCCAGTTAGCCAAGTTGTGAATGTAAAGGAAAAGTTCTTAAAGGAAATTAAAAGTGCTACTCCAGTGAATACATAAATAAGAAAGCAAAATAGCCTTATTGCCGATATGTAGAAAGTTTGAGTGGTCTGGATAGAAGATCAAACCAGCCACACTATTCCGTTAAGCCAAAGCCCTACATCCAAAACAAAGCCCTAACTCTGTTCAATTCTGTGATGGCTGAGAGGTGAGGAGCTGCAGAAGATAAGTTGAAGCTAGCAGAGGCTGGTTCATGAGGTTTAAGGAAGGAAGCCATCTCCATAATACAGAAGTGCAAGGTGAAGCAGCAAGTGCTGATACAGAAGCAAGTTATCCAGAAGATCTAGCTAAGATCATTGATAAAGGTGGCTACACTAAATAACAGATTTTCATTGTAGACAAAACAAAAATAAAGAACATGCCATCTAGGACTTTCATAGCTACAGAGGAGAAGTCAATGCCTGGCTTCAAAGCTTCAAAGGACGCTGACTTTCTTGTTAGGGGCTAATGCAGCTGGTGACTTTAAGTTGAAGCCAATGCTCATTTACCATTCCAAAAATCCTAGGGCCTCTCAGAATTATGCTAAATCTCTATAAGTGAAACAAGAAAGCCTGGATGACAGCACATCTGTTTACAGCATGGTTTATTGAATTTTTCTTTTTTTAAAAGACAGGATCTCACTATGTTTCCCAGGCTGGAGTGCACTGGCTATTCACAGGCACAATAATCATGCACTACAGCCTCAAACTCCTGGGCTGAATCGATCCTCCCCTCCTGCCTCAGCCTCCCAAGTAGTTGGGCCTTAAGGCGTGCACCACCACACCTGGCTTAGTTTACTGAATATGTTCAGCTCACTGTTGAATCTTCCTGCTCAAAAGATTCCTTTCAGAATATTTCAAAATATTACTGTACCTGGTCACCCAAGGGCTCTAATCGAGATGTCCAAGGAGATTAATACTGTTTTCATGCCTGCTAACACAACATCCATTCTGCAGCTCATGGATCAAGAAGTAATTTTGACTTTCAAATCTTATTATTTCAGAAATAAACTTTATAAAGCTATAGCTGCCATAGATAGTGATTTCTCTGAGGGATCTGGGCAAAGTAAATTGAAAACCTTTTGGAAAGGATTTAGCATCCTAGATGCCATTAAGAATATTTGCAATCAATGGAAGGAAGTCAAAATGTCAACATTAATAGGAGTTTGGAAGAAGTTGATTCCAAGCCTCATGGACGACTTTGAGGGGTTCAAGATTTTAGTGGAGGAAGTAACTGCAGATGTGGTAGAAAGAGCAAGAGAACTAGAATTAGAAGTGGGGCCTGGGCCAGACGCAGTGGCTCACATCTGTAATCCTAACCCTCTGGGAGGCCGAGGCGGTTGGATCGCTCAAGGTCAGGAGTTCGAGACCAGCCTGAGCAAGAGCGAGACCCCGTCTCTACTAAAAATAGAAATTATCTGGACAACTAAAAAAATATATATAGAAAAAATTAGCCGGGCATGGTGGCGCATGCCTGTAGTCCCAGCTACTCGGGAGGCTGAGGCAGGAGGATCACTTGAGCCCAGGAGTGTGAGGTTGCTGTGACCTAGGCTGACTCCACGGCACTCTAGCCCAGGCAAGGGAGTGAGATTCTGTCTCAAAAAAAAATAGGACAGTTATGTTAGGTTACATTATTTAAAGGGATGAAGTATACATGCCATTAAAATAAACATAAACTAATTTGTCATTCAGGGTAATTCTATGAATTTTATGGGATTTTTAGAGCTGAAAAAGACCATAGGGATTGATAACTTATGCCTATATTATAAAGTTTGTAGAAAATATTCAGCAACTTTCTGATTATCACAAATATTAGATTTATCCTACTACATGAATTTTTTTACCTAAAGGTTTACAGTTCTCTATGACTCATTGGCTGGGATTCTGACCCTGAACTCAAAAGCAATCTTGCAGAAACAAACCATGCCTGAGTTACTGTGACTCAACAAAGCATAAACTGTTCTAATTTGCTTCCATTTCGAACACCATTGGTATTCAGACCATAATAAGTCATGTAAATTAATTAGCCTAATGTTAGTATAACATATAGTCTGATTTTCTTCATGCTATAAGTTAAATTTCTATAAACATTAGTGTGCAGAGGCAGAATACTTAGAACTGACCAAAGAATAAAATATCAAATCAATATTTGTCTCATGAGCTATGCACAGACGCCTTATCAATTTATCTTTCAAAATATAGTTTTAATGAAGTAGTCATTCATTGCCATATAGCTTTTTATAATGATTCTACTTTATAGAATGTTTGTTTACAGCAAAAAGGAATTTTGCAAAAAGTGTAAAAGCATTTTTAAAAGCACTTTTTCAAATTACAACGTTGCATTGATCTCTAAGTCCGTAAAGGTATGTGATACGAGATCTTTAAAGTTTCACTGCATTTCAGGATTGTTCTTGAAGAGATATTCTGCCTGCAGTTGAAAGGAAACAAAAAAGAGAAGTCAACAACTTACAAGTTATTATTAGTCATATATTTGTACTAGTAATGTTTATAATTTAAATATAAAAGTACATAAATTTTTTACTTTCAGATGAATAATGAAAATCTTAATATAAACTGTGAATGTATTAGAAACTATTTCCCCAAATAACTAGACAGACAGTTTTTATATCTCAACTGATTTTTTGTTAAAATTCAGGCATATTTTATTTTCACATTGTTATTTTTTAAAAAAATTCAATCTCTTACCAGAAAATCAATGGGATCCTCTGGTCTGACCTTACAACACTCATTCAGACCCTGCATAAGAGTTGGCATAACGTAGGTCATTAAATAGTTTCTCAGGGGAATAGACTGAGCCTCCAGCAACTCTCTTTCTTCCCTTTTCACTTCCTCTAGTCGTTTGTTCTACAAATAGAACATTTGGGGTAAAGTAAAGGTACAATCAGAAAGGGGAAAAAAAAAAAGAAAGGGGAGAACATTGTCACAGAATTCACCCCAGATACAGTTAGACACTGCTAAAAATGTTCAGCACCTTATGATAAGGATGGCATTTTCAACCCTCAGAGAAAAGATGTAAAACGCAATAAATAATGTTACAAGACAAAGGATGAACTGAGAAAAACTTTGCAACATATTATAAAAAGCTAGGGTATTATAAAAATGTCCCTTCTGCTCCTTGTCTTTTCCAGTTGGCATTTCTGACCTTGGCCCTACTGAACAGTTCCCTCTCAAGCCCCAACACTGGCAATTACCAGTGTCGGAATTCCTTGGGAATTCCTGGAATTGCTTGGGTAGGTTGAGAGGGGAGGAGTTTGTTCTAATACTGGCACAGTGGTTAAATGACAACATGATGCGGCACAATATCTTTCTATCATTTCACTGTAATCATTGAACAGCCATCATGTTCAAGATCTGTATCCCTGTCCTTATATTGCTTAATGTATATTTTTCAGTAGCGTAAGGTTGGCAAGTTAGAGAAATTGATCTCCGAAGCTCTTTCCAGGCCATATAATTTTTTTTTTTTTTGAGACAGAGTCTCACTCTTTTGCCCGGGCTAGAGTGAGTGCCGTGGCGTCAGCCTAGCTCACAGCAACCTCAAACTCCTGGGCTCAAGCCATCCTCCTGCCTCAGCCTCCCGAGTAGCTGGGACTACAGGCACGCGCCACCATGCCCAGCTAATTTTTTCTATGTATTTTTTTTTTAGTTGTCTGATTAATTTCTTTCTATTTTTAGTAGAGATGGGGTCTCGCTCTTGCTCAGGCTGGTTTCGAACTCCTGAGCTCAAACAATCCGCCCGCCTTGGCCTCCCAGAGAGCTAGGATTACAGGCGTGAGCCACTGCACCTGGCCGCTCAAGACTTCTTGAGTCATGGTCCTCAAATTTGGCTCAGAATAGATCTTTTTAAAATTATTTTACATAGTTTGGCTTTTTTTCCATTGATATTGTTATTGATACTTAGCAAATGACCATGGATACATTTTTTAAAATGGTACATATGACCAAAAAAAAAAAAAACTTGTTTGGAGTATTTGGCGACATTTTGCTATAGCAGGATGGGAAGCGGAAGTGGCCTAAGTGGCTTTGCCAGGCGCCCCTCCCCCAACACAGACTCCCACTCACGCTCACACTCACCCACTCCTCCCAGCGAGCCAGCTTCTCCGCCATCTCCACCGCCTCGTTGTGCTGGCGTTCTGCTTCCTCAGCAGCCTCCCTGGCCAGGCATTCCTCTGCAGCCTTCCGCTCCTCTTCCGCCTTTTCTTCATCTGTTAAACCATAATTTCGAGGCTCCCCAATCTCTTTGATGAGCTGTTTGATAGCAAGTCTATTCTGAGCATCTTCGAGTTTTCCTACATCTTTAAATACCGGGGGAGAGGAGATCAACACATACTTATATTCCAGGCCTGCCTGCAATTGGGAAAATTCTTTATGACTTGCTATAAACTTGTGATAGTAAATTATGTAAATTACCACATTGGGGTTTTCTTTTCTAATTGCCAGCATAGTTCAGAATTTCTTCTCTCACGGGCAAATAGCAGACCAGAGTCTGAGAGTCATGGGTAGGAAGATATGGACTTGCATCTCTGAGTCCTAGCAATCACTGCTGATTGGAGTGGGTGGATGGGGCATGGGTCGCCTCAAAAGTAATGAGCTCTCCATCCCTGGAGGTACTCAAGCAAAGACTGGGACAGTTCTTTCACTGGTTTCTACAGACGAAAGTCCTGCACTTGCTGGAGGCCGGATAGGATAACCTTGAGGTTCCTCCTGTTTTCTGTTTCTAAGGTTCAGTGATTCTGGGATACATTTTCAATTCATAAAAAATTAACCATATTAGTTAGCCTACTTGAATAGGAAAATGTCCAGACTCCAGAATATGTGACTAATGTTCATATCAAGACCAAAGAGAAGAAGAAGAAAAATGGCTTATAGATAAACGGTGAGATTTCCACAAAGTCACTGGGTTTGCCTGGAGGGTGTCTGCAGAGGACCTTACAGCAGAAGCGTTTGAACTGAGTCCCTCCAGGCTTCCCTCTGGGTAACTGCCAGCCTCTCCCCCACCCACAGCCACTGCTGCACCCACCCAGCGTCTGTGTGGCCTTGACCTAGGCTAGAGGCACCACTAGGTGCTAACATGGGAAGAGGGGCGGGGCAGAAGCAAGCCCTTAAAAAAGCAAAAAACCAGGCCGGGCACAGTGGCTCACGCCTGTAATCTTAGCTCTCTGGGAGGCCGAGGCGGGCGGATTGTTTGAGCTCAGGAGTTCGAAACCAGCCTGAGCAAGAGCGAGACCCCGTCTCTACTAAAAATAGAAAGAAATTAATCGGACAACTAAAAATATGTAGAAAAAATTAGCCGGGCATGGTGGCGCATGCCTGTAGTCCCAGCTACTCGGGAGGCTGAGGCAGGAGGATCGCTTGAGCCCAGGAGTTTGAGGTTGCTGTGAGCTAGGATGATGCCACGGCACTCCAGCCCGGGCAACACAGTGAGACTCTGTCTCAAAAAAAAAAAAAGCAAAAAACCTCTCCCTTTCTCCGTCATCGTGGTGTGTGTGTGATTTACTTCGTTTCTCACCATGTCTTCTCATGAGACTTTCAGGATCAAGCAATTCCTGGCCAGAAAACAAAAGCCAAATCATCCCATTCCCCAGTGGTTTGGATGAAAACTGGTAATAAAATCAGTTACAACTCCAAGAGAAGACACTGGAGAAAAACGAAGCTGGGTCTGTAAGGAACGGCCCGTGAGATGGTGCACATATTTATGCCGCATCTCACCATCAAGCTGAAAATGTCACCACTATCTGGACAGTTGGACACAATTTACTGGGAAAATGTTTTTCTCATTGTTTATATGCTCTGCACTAGTAAGCTGGCTCAGTAATAAATATGTGAGACCCTTTGTTTGGAAGGAAAAAAGCAAAGAAAACCTTCAAAAAACAAAGTCATATTTGGTACCTCCTTATTGCCTGACCTGTGACATTTAAATGTGTTTCTCTCTGATTCCTCTGAATAACTACAACCTTGATGTCACTAAGTGCCCTAAAACGTTTTGGGAAAGGCTCTAGTTTTGGAGAAGGGGGTCATAGGGAAGAGTTTTCACCCCAGCAATATTCCAATCCTGACACTGGAGCGGAGAACCTGCTGATCAGACCAGCGTGGGCACCTGACCAAACTGTGACCGGCAGAGTTGCCTTTCTAGGAATGTGGAATTGGACAGAGAGAGTCAAGTCCAGTTCTGGGCTTGGCTCCCAGTATAACATGGCAACTCTGGGTCTGTGGGGTGGCCTCAGTCTACCATAGGGGCCAGAGAGGAGGGAGGGAACGCTGGCTCAAAGAGAGGACGAAAGGGACATTGACAGAGAAGTAGGGTCTAGATGCAGAGAGAATGTGGCTCCCAGCACCGTTCCAGGGCCCCATTCCAGAGCCTTCTGAGGCCAGGCTGCATTCCTGGCCTTGAGACACCCTCCCCCTACTGCTATCTTTGTGACACATTTTTCCCCTTTGCTTTCACATTATCTCTCAGTTGTCACTGTGGAGATGAGGCCAAATGTCATGGGCACAGGATGAGACAGGAACACAATGACCACTCATTGATGCCTCCTCATCATTTCTGATTTTCTCAATGTTTCTCCCTGGGGACTCTCCTTATCTTTCTTTAAATAATTTTTTGGGCTTTACTGAAAAGATGACAATCACTACTCTTCTGAAATTTGTTCACAATTCTTTCCTAGTTCTCTAATTGGTGTAAACTAATTTACATATTAGAAGGTGTAGAATCCTTAGGTTTTACATATAAAACATGTTCAACATGCAGAAACATGTCCAGATGAGGGCAAAACCCAATTGCTGCTGAGGGTGCAAAAAAGAGAAGAATTTACAAATTTATAAATTGTTATTTTTATATTTCTTAATACCATATCATTTTTTTTTTTTTTTGAGACAGAGTCTCACTCTGTTGCCCGAGCTAGAGTGAGTGCCGTGGAATCAGCCTAGCTCACAGCAACCTCAAACTCCTGGGCTCAAGCAATCCTCCTGCCTCAACCTCCCGAGTAGCTGGGACTACAGGCATGCGCCACCATGCCCGGCTAATTTTTTCTATATATTTTTAGTTGTCCGATTAATTTCTTTCTATTTTTAGTTAGAGACGGGGTCTCGCTCTTGCTCAGGCTGGTTTCGAACTCCTGAGCTCAAACAATCCACCCGCCTCTACTTCCCAGAGAGCTAGGATTACAGGCATGTGCCACCGCGCCCGGCCCCGCATATCATTTTATAACTTAGTATTGGTAGTAATAACAAAGTTACCACTTGTGGAACTCCTTCCATGTGTTAGGCACTTGATGAAGTGCCTTTTTTTTTTTTTTTTGAGACAAAGTCTTGCTCTGTTGCGAAGGCTAGAGTGCAGTGGCGTCATCATAGCTCACTACAATCTCAAACTTCTGGGCTCAAGCAATCCTCCACCTCAGCCTCCCAGGTAGTTGGGACTATAGGCACATGCCACCATGCCAAGCTAATTTTTAAAAACTTTTTGTAGAGCTGAGGTCTCACTATGTTGTGCAGGGTGGTCTTAAACTCCTGGGCTCAAGCAGTCCTCCAGCCTCAGCCTCCCAAAGTGCTAGGATTACAGGCATGAGCCACCAGCCCAGCCCATATCTTATCTCTACCATATGTAACAACCCTATAAGCCTGGTTACTTTCCTATTTCACAGACAAGAAAACCGAGGCAGAGCCAATATAGAACCAGCTCTCTTGCCTCCTGCTGGCATTATCCCTTAGCTCTAAGCCTCCTACTGTTTCAGGGTCCACGTGCTCTCCCATCTGGCTGTTGAGGGTAGAAAGGAGGCCCAAAGGGTCATCCTGGCCAGTGAGCTTCCACCAGGCAGGGGCTGGTTGTTTCTCACCCAACCCAGGTGAGGAATTAGCATCAAGATCCAGAAGAGCAGAAAGGAAATTCAGGGGTTCACCAAGCCAAGGGGAGTTTTAGAAACAGCTACGTGCCAGGGCACAGGAGATTTGGAGCCAGGAACGATAATGATGATGAGGATAATGCAAGACCATATTTACTGAGTGCCGCCTGGTGTGTGCTAAGCTCTGAGTTATGTGTTTACAGGAAACAAGGAGGAGTGTCATGAAGCGCTATTTGCTTTTCTGGGTAGCTATGGGGGTGGGCTGGCCGGTCTAAAGGCCAGGAGGGCATCTGTGAAGAGCACCAGTAACCAGCAATATGATAGGGACAGAACGCTGCCCCCAAGGAACCTGCAGGAATGGCCCAAAGCAGCCGGCAGCAAAAACACACTTCTTTGAAATGTCCTTCAAAAAATATGCCAATTTGTCATATGAATGCATACCATATCTGTATGTTTTCATGGAATAATAACACCTTCCCACCACCAAATCCCCATGTACAGTGACTCCCCAGGAGCATGCCCTGTTCGTCCTGTGGTTGCCTGCGCCCTGGCACGTGGTTCACTCCCCACCCTCCCTCAGCCCCATGATCCCAGTTCCACATGCACCAGGGTTCGTTGGGGGAGGCGGTTCTGGCTCCCAACATTCACCTTATCCCTGAATTCATTTCATACCCATGTGTATCGGGTGGATTTCAATTTCATCAAAATAGTTGAAGACAGTCTCATCTTCAGTATTGATGTCCCGGTAGTTGCTCAGAGCCCGGAGGAATCGGTCCTGGCTGTAGTGCGTCCCCGCCACGACGGTCTCAGGAAGGTTTATCACCCGCTCCTTCAGAAACTCGTCGGAAGCATCCAGCGCACAGACGAATTCTGGGGAGAAGGAGAAGCTCCAGAGTTGGCACAATACAGTGGAGCTAGCTAGAAGGGTGCTGGAGAACCCAAACGGTGAATGTCTGGTTACCAGCTGGGACCTCCTGTTGCCACAAATGGCCTGTCAAACTGGCCTTCTTGCTGCCTCTCCTGGAGGATAAATACATGTAAATCATCACGTTTCCAGAGACCACCCTGTGAAACCCAACCAATTGTTATTTTGTACAATCTCTTTTCCTTCCTTCCTTCCCTTCTTCCTTCCTTCCTTCCTTCCTTCCTTCCTTCCAATAAAAGCAGAAGAAATAAATAGCAAATCTCTGACAACCCTGTGATATCAATGGCTTCCTGGTCAATCCTTCCAATACAATTATCCACAGGCTTCCAAAAAGACAGTCATGGCTACGAGCAAACTGCTTTGATGGCCAGTTTGCGAGCAAACTGCTTTGATGGCCAGTTTGCCAAATTAATAAAAGTGGGACTCCCCTTGGAATTTAATTTCCACGGGTCCATCTCTTTCCTCACTTAATGCCATTGGCCATGAAACATTTATGTTCAATACAACAGGGTCAGCGTTTATCAAATTTAACACACAGATCATATTAATGATGGTGATCATTTTACCCACCTGCGATTTTCTTTTAAACTATAAAAGTAAATGTTTCTCCAGCTTCTAGTACAAATTCAATGGGTATATGTTGAGTGAATGAAGAGATTAAAATGTGCATGAGTGAAATAAACTTTCCAAGGGTGGTTGCTATTCTCAGGTGTTCTCAACAGCAGGACCAGAGTACACTGGTGCCTAGATCAGTGTCCAGGTGCATTGCAAATATCTTGCTACCTATTAGAGCCCAACAAAACTTGGGAATAATTTGATTTTTACTCTAAAATTGTATTGGTTGAGCACATAATAATGCCATTGTCATTTAGATACATTCTAATAAGCTTTCTTCGGGAGGTAAGAAAGGTAAGTGTACTACAGAGAGCCCAGAGAAAGATGCACCCATGAGGGATGTGGAAAGCACGTGAACATCATCTACCATGTGTGTTAACACTGAAAACAAGGGCTGAACACTGAGCATGTGGAATAAAATTCTATAAATCCACAATGGTCTGGCCTGCTCTGCTCTTCTTTGACCATTGGATTTTCATGATCTCCATGAATAGCTAGATTTTGAAAAGGAAGAGAAACATCTGAACCCCCAAATGCTCATATAGTACTGAAATCAAAATTATGTCAATAAATTCGCTGGAAATTGAATTTGTTTAAGCTCCATGATGTCAGACGTCTAGATGAATATTTATTTATTTTCAAAAGACAGGGTCTTGCTATGTTGCCCAGGCTGGCCTCGAACTCGTGGGTTCAAGCAATCCTCCTGCCTCAGCCTCCTGAGTACCAGCTGGGACTACAGGTGCGCACCACTGTACCCTAGATGAAATTGTATTAATTATATTAATGACCTAGTAATTTCAAAATATAATATTATATCTTTTTTTTCCAGAGTGATTGGGAGTTGGAAGATTCCAGTTAATCAAATATTGCAAATGCAAACATCTTTGGTTTTCCGATTTTAAAAGAATTTTAATATGATAAAATATACTTCCCTCTAAATGAATTTTTTTAAATGTCCATTCATTCTCTTTATGATTCAGGGAGAACTTCAGGATTTTGCAGTATCTCAAGATAATTATTCGGAATATCTATTGTCGCTGTACTGGCTCACTGTGGATAGCAAGTAATAGATTTCTGCTTGGTGACATTGTACATAGCAAGGAGGTCCCTGTATGTGGCTGTCTGGAGTCATGTGAAAGTCTATGTTTTAATGAATGTTCCCAAATTCATCATGTAGATATAACTTTAAACTGGTCTCCATCAACTAGGAGATCTGAAAGAATCAAACTGGATATAGGCTAATAGCAGAGGTAAAATACAATGACTGATCAAGGACAGAATACCACCTAGAACTGGATGACCATAGAGTGGAATGTTTCATCACTCAAATCAAGCACGGATGCTTGTATTAATCATATTTTTTCATTATCTGGAGGAGGGCCTTACAGAACTGGGGCAAGACTGCCCCTCTCAGGGCTAGCGAACACCTAAAGTTAGTAAGCAAATGCTTGGGAGAATGCCTCTCGTATGCAAGCCACCCACCTCCTTTATCTAACTCTCATACACCAAGCCAGTATTTCCCTTGCCCTAAATCATCCCAGGATGAAGCACCAGGCACCTAGAGACCTCCCACAAAGCTCACACTAGCCAGTCCTAAGCCGTTTACTCTGGCCTGCCTTGCCTTTCCTGCAGAAACCCCAATAAAGACTTTGGCATAGACCTTCCCAGCGCTCCAACTTCTGCCTACTGAGCAAACCTGGAGCTCCCCACGTGGCCTTCATGGCATGATGTTCCTCCTTCTCTTGGGAAATGTAAGCAATAAATTCTTCTTTCAATGGCATTGACCTGTCTGTGTCCTCACTCAGTGACCTCCATCAATTAAAATCCAACAGGTGCAAATGAGACAATGCTCTGATTTCTTTTAGGAAGATAGAAAATAAAGACAATTTCTGGAAAGAGGGTGATTTACTAACAACAGACTGGGGTGGGGAACCCGTAGCCTTGAGGCCACATATAGTCTTCTGGATCCTTGGGTGCAGCCTTTTGACTGAATCCAAATTTTACAAAACAAATACTTTTAATAAAGGGATTTGTTCTTTGAAGTTTGGATTTGGTCGAGGGGCCACACTTGGAGATCTGGAGGGCCACGTGTGGCCTTGAGGCCGCAGGTTCCCCACCACGGCGATTCTGTCCAACAAAGAGAGGGCAGCCCAGTGGACTATGCCTGAGAATCGTTGCTCACTTTACCTGTGTGGCTCCATCTCCTGTCTTTCACTAACTCTGTGTTCTGGCGGCAGTGCAGTGTAGAGACCTGAGTCTGAATTTCAGTTCTCCCATTTACCAGTGAAGTGGACTTGGATAAATCCCTGGGCTTCAGCTTCTGGATCGGGTAGACACGGGTGTAATTCCTGCCTTGCAGGATTGTAGAAGGGCTCAGCGAGTGCCTGGCGCAGGACACATTGTTAGTTGAGCTGAAATGTATCCAGTTACCTCAGAGGAAACGTTATGATTTACCATGGAGTTTGCAATGAGTGAATATTGCCCAGGAGTGATAAACTCTCATAAACTGGACAGACTTGCTCATTTAGAGTAATCAAATTTACTTTTTCACTTTGAGGCATATATTTAAATTAATGGGAAATCTGAGACAATCCATCTCTTTGACATTTCACGTTTCTGCCGCTGGTTTCAGAGCTCACAGGCAAACGGGCACTATCCATCCCCAAGGATGACTGCTATCTGGGGGTCTCAGGGCTTCCAGAAGCTTTTCTGCAAGCTGTGTCTGGACCAAGAGGAGGAGATGATTATAGGCACAAACTTGACACCTGCGAGCAGATCCTTGTTAGTTACAGCCTTGTGCTAAGTTGCTGAAAACAGCTGTTCTTGTATTGACCACATGACTCAAAATAAATGATGCCCTGTGAATACACCTCATGCAAACTGACGAAAAACAACACTTTCTAACGTTCTTGGAAAGGTCACAAGAAATGCCTGCTCAGCACCAAGTAAATCCTGTTGCCTAGGACAAGCTGTTTATGCTTTGCTTTCAAGAGTGCTTTGTGATATGCTCTTTTTTTTTTCTGTCTTTATTATTTTCTTTCTTTTTTTTTTGTTTAGTTTTTTTTCCCTTCTGAAAGTAGTGAAAGTGATATACTCTCATAGAACAAAACTGCTGCAGAGTTAACAGTGAACCGAAAAGCTTCTTACCTGCCCAGTCTCAGTTCAGGGTCTGAATGTCTTCTGGAAAAGATGATGGCATCACTAGTACCAAAAACAGGGTGAAGAAGGGGCTGCAGTGGCCCAGTCCCTGGTGGTCTGACCAACCGACCAAGAAGTCAAACCATCAACAGGTTTGCTGCCTTTTGCTTTGTTCCAGGATAGAGCAGCAGAAACAAATGCTCTCACAGGGATTTCTCTTCATCCCGCAACTTTAGTATCCCTGATGTTTAACCCCAGTGCATTATGTAGTTTGCAAGTTTTGTGCCTAAGCGTATCTTTTTCATTTTTTTCTAAAAAAAGAAAAATCTACTTTATTTAACTCAAAAAGATTGTTTTGCGCTGAAGAAATATTGAACAGCACTCCTCCTTTAAATGTGATATTGGAGAAATATCTTGAACTTACCAGGTATAATTAACTTATCATAGGGAGATATTTTGCCTCTGGCTTCTTCTTCCTCCTCCTCATCATCCTCTAATAAAACAAAATATTCATCATCATGTTTATTAACATGTTACTACTATGGATTACAGCAAAAAATTCAAATATCTCAAGTAGCAATCACTAATGAAAACTAGCCATAAATAGAACATTTATTTTAGAAATAGTCCCACAACCTAAATGTGAATTGACAGATGAATGATACAGAAAATACAGTATATATATCCGACAGAATACTATTCAGCCTTAAAAAAGAAGGAAATCCTGCCATACGTGACAATAAGGACGAGTCTTGGGGACATGATGCTAAGTGAAATAAGTCAGTCACAGGATAAATATATGAGTCCACTTATATAAGGTACTTAGAGTAGTCACATTCATAGAATGAAAAGCAGAGTGGTGGTTGCCAGGGGCCGAGGAGAGGGAGAAAGAGTTAGGCATGGAGGCATGCCTAACAGGCATGGAGTAGTAATCCAGCAAGATGAACAAGCTCTCCCGACCCGATGAACACAGCACCTATAGTCAGTAATAATTTGTTAAAAGGGTAGATCTCATGTTGAGTTTGTGCCACAGTAAAATAAAATAAAATAAATTTAAAAAAAATTTAAAGTCTGGAAAAAGGAAAAAGGAAAAAAATTGGTATATAGTCTCACATCTGAAAAAAAAAAAGAAAAAAGATGCACCTAATAAAAAGTGAGCTGAGATTCAAAAATAAATAGTCTCTCCAAGTTTTTGTTTCTTTTCATTGAGTGACTATTTCCCTGAACAATAAAGTTGCAATTTATCTGGCTGTAAATACTCAAAATGAAGGGAACACTCAAACTTACGATTGAAAAGATCTTTTGCTTGATCATAGGTCTTTGGGAATCCATCCAAAATGTAACCTTGATTCCTGCAAGGCATTGATTTTAGCTTTTCTTTCACAAATCTAATTATATATTGATCTTCTATTCGGCCTGATAAGAAGAAAAAATATATTACTGTGGAGTCACATTCTACATGAGGGTTATGCTCTAAAGATATCTTAAAAATTGTTGTGTAGTCAAAGGTACTATTGGAAATCCCTATTTTGCCCTTAAAGTAAAAAATATGTGATTTTGTATTTTTGGTTTTTTTGGGTTTCTTTGAGACAGAGTCTCACTCTGTTGCCTGGGCTAGAGTGCTGTGGCGTCAGCGTAGCTCACAGCAACCTCAAACTCCTGGGCTCAAGCAATCCTCCTGCCTCAGCCTCCCGAGTAGCTGGGACTACAGGCATGTGCCACCATGCCCGGCTAATTTTTTTCTATATATTTTTAGATGTCCAGCTAATTTCTTTCTATTTTTTTTAGTAGAGACGGGGTCTCGCTCTTGCTCAGGCTGGTCCCGAACTCCTGAGCGCAAAGGATCCGCATGCCTTGGCCTCCCAGAGTGCTAGGATTATAGGCGTGAGCCACTGCGCCCGGCCTGATTTTGTATTTTGAACATGACATGTGAATTCTAATGCACAATAAAGTGGGAGAACACGACAAGCTTTTCTACAAGAAAGAACACATGAAAATGCTGATGCTTGCATTTCAAAATGTTCTTCTGGGCCAGGTGCGGTCACATGCCTGGAATCCTAGCACTCTGAGAGGTCATGGCAGGAGGATTGCTTGAGCTTAGGAATTTGAGACTGAGCAAAAGTGAGACCTTGTTTCTACAAAAAAATAAAAAATTTAACTAGGCGTGGTGGCAAGTGCCGGTAGTCCCAGCTACTTGGGAAGCTGAGGCAGGAGGATCACTTGAGCCCAGGAGTTTGAGGTTGCTGTGAGCTACAATGATACCACTGCACACTACCTGTGACAACAGAGCAAGACTGTCTCCAAAAAAAAAAAAAGTTCTTCTGTAATCACAACTTTGGGATGACATTGACTGAAGAGTAAGTGGAGTAATGCAGAGAGCTTGTAGGATTTACTCAATTATGTTTTGATATTTCACCTCTATAGCCTTAATATGCAATAATAAATGCTTCTGTTGTGAGAATTGTGTGAGATAGTGTTCATGTGTGTTGCTAGTACATGATTTATTAAAAGTAGGTGCTCAATAAATATTTACTAGATCCAAATAACAATCAAACTTGACCTGACCCTCAAAGCCACTTTTCTCTTTAAAGCTGCAAAAAAGAACCTGGCCCTCTGCTCCCTGTCTTTTCCAGTTAGCCTTTCTGACCTTGGCCCTACTGGACAGCTCCCTCTCAAGCCCCAACACTAGCAATAACCAGTGTCCAAATTCCTTGGGAATTCCTGGCATTGCTTGGGTAGGTCGAGGGAAGAGGAGCTTGTTCTAAAATTGGCAGGATGGTTCAAAGACAACAAGATGCGGCTCTACCACAATACCCTCCTGTCATTGCATGGTAATTACTGAACAGCCATCGCGTTCAAGATACAGCCCTGTCCTTACGCTACTTACCGTATATATTACAGTAATATAAACTTGGCAAGTTAGACGTACTGACCTCTGAAGCTTTTGCCAGAGTATGTACTATATTTTTAATTTATCAATGGGTCTATACATAATGTAAAATAAATAATCTGGGGCCTCTTTTTATCATTCTATTAATGACAATAAATGATCTAATTAAAACATCTCTCCTTTCCTCTGCCTTTCAGGGTCACACAAACCAATAGGCAGTCATGGATTCGGTAAATAATTGTGTCTTTCAGAAATTTAAATATTATGGTTGAGACAAAAAAAATGATAAAAGGTGTTATTCAACATAATGAAATTCCTCCAAATGATTTTACATTACTTCCCAGTAAGGTTCACAGTGGTGCAAAGACACGAAGCCAAATAAAAAATGTCAAGGGATTCACTAACATTAAAACACTGGTTTTACTTAAGCGGTCTATTTCCATTTTTCAAAAGCTTTGTTGTTAAGGAAAAGGCGCATAATCAGAAATCCAGCTGAGGTCTCCTTGAACACACCCCTGGGTTTATTTCAGGCTCTGAGCTTAATTCATTCATTTCCGCTTGATTCAGAACGAAAGTGTTCAGTAATGAAGAAGGGAGTCCTAGGAGCAGTTTTTGGTATTAATGGAATGCTTTAGAGGCATCACTGAGTACACAAAGGGCCAAGCCCAAATGCCTTTCTCTAGAGAACTGTGACCTCTTAGAGACAATCCTATGACCTTTGGCCTCTGTGGCAGGTGACTGCCCCTTTCTGTTTTAAAAGGAGCACAGACCTCCTAGATAGCTTTTTTAAAGTCACCCTCCCTTTTTTGTTTAATTGTAGGCCTAACTTTCAAATACTACTTAAAATAGTATTTGTAATACTATTTGTAAATAGTAATGATGATATTTAAAATGTTAATATTAACCCATATTCATAAGTATTAAAACACGGTTTAAAATAGATAGCTGTTCCCGTGGACCAGTGGTGGGAACATGAGGTGATACATTTGGGATTACAGCTTGGGTTCTGTCACCCCATCCACAGGAAACTAGTTTTTAACTGCCAACTACCAAAGAGTAAGCAGCAATTTCAAAAAGAAAAAGCAATCCAAAACGTACACACGTTTATACGCAATCTGCCTTATGGGAGAAGTCACCCCTTTCCTTTTTCTTTGTAGAAACAGAAGCAAGAATGTTCCATTTGGCTCCCAGTTTGAACTTGGTAAATAAATGTAGCTTAGAACTAGAATTGTCAGGCAGGAGTGGTGGCTCACGCCTGTAATCCTAGCACTCTGGGAGGCCGAGGTGGGAGGCTCACTTGAGGCCAGGAGCTCAAGACCAGCCTGAGCAAGAGTGAGACTCTGTCTCTACAAAAAATAGAAAAATTAGCTGGGTGTTGTGGTGTGCACCTGTAGTCCCAGCTACTCGGGAGGCTGAGGCAGGAGAATCAAGTGAGCCCAGGAGTTTGAGGTTGCTGTGAGCTATGATGATGCCACTGCACTCTAGCCCCAGTGACAGAGCAAGACTCTGTCTCAAAAAAAAAACCTAGAAGTGTCAGTGCAGTTGTTCTTTAGGATAATTAAGAATGAAACAAAGTGAGTGGCTCTTCACTCCGTTTACTGGAGCAATGTGTGAAATTCCATGTGTTTGCTGAGGTATAAGATTAAAAAATCTACATCTCATCCAGGCAGTTTGATATTTGGGGTAAGTGTGTCTAAATCTGAGCATGTATCCTTAAACAGATCAGGAAGGAATAACATAAGCAGAAGCAAAAGATGGCTCTTGGAAGAAGAGAATTTCTTGGAAGAAATTTGGAATCTTCAATTTGATCTAATATGGATACATGTTAATCTTCAAAAATCTTTCATATTACACTAATTTATTGAGACTACTGTGTATTGAATTTTGCAATTTAAAACTAAGTAAGGCACAATAGACTTGTTTAAAATATTTTACTTCGGCTGGGCGCGGTGGCTCACACCTGTAATCCTAGCACTCTGGGAGGCCGAGGCGGGAGGATTGCTTGAGCTCAGGAGTTCGAGACCAACCTGAGCAAGAGCAAGACCCGTCTCTATTATAAATAGAAAGAAATTAGCCAAACAACTAAAAA